CAGTATGGCCCTGTACCCCGGGGCTATGTGGTAAATGGACGGATGGGGGTTTTCCCGGTTTCCCGGGGGGGGGTACTTCCCGGGATCAAGTTTGGATTTGGGGCATCCAAACCCGTTTACGCATACGGAGGCATTTAGGACACAGGTAATGGGGGACAAACGCGGGGCAGCAAAAGGGCGTGTGGTTTAAATGGGGTTTGCATATGACCATATGGGGGCCCAGTGTGGGAGATGGCAGGGGAAAAAAGGACCTAGGTAGTGAGTTGGGAAAGAGCCAAAACCCAGAGGGGGGTTTCATGTGTTGAGGACCTGTACAAAAGAAGTGGCATTCCCTGGGGGAAAAGTGGGCTTGAGCGCCACTGGTGGGAAACCACCCCCATCACTGTCCCCAGTTGGGGGGGAAGTGAGGCATCTGCCATGGAAAGGGGGAAGACTGTGCAGATTGGTGACTTTGCGGGTAGGGGGAAGGCCCCTTACTGGTGAAGGGGCAGGAAAAATCCTTTGAGAAGCGGGTTGCTGAGGAAAACTTGATTTGGTGGGGGATTTAATGTTAAGTTTAAAGATGGAAAATTGGGAAAAATTTGGCGAAAAAGGCAGATGACTGGCCAGGAGTGGGAATTTGATTGGGGGTGACTGCGAGTTTCAAGGGGGGCTTTCCATTTTGATTTTGGAAAGGGAAATGCAGATTTGGGGCAACCGGGAAAAGAGGGCGGCGACTTTTTCTGCCCCTTGATGATGTTTTAAACCCCGGCACAGAGCCCGGGGGAAAAAACCCAGGGGTTGATGTGGTGGGGGGGCACAAAAGGTAGGCCTGGTCAGGTTTTTGGATAAGGGGAAGCCACCAGGGGCAGGGAGAAAAAAAGTGGACGAAGCAGACACATTTGGAAAAGCGGTCAGTAAAAGGGGAAAAGGGGCAGGGGGTAAAATCACAAAATGGGGTTTTCCGGTGCATGACAGTAAATTATTAAGGGATTGTGTGCGAGGAGAAGCGCCCTGGGGGAAAAGGGGTTTTTTTTAAGCCTTTATGCAAAGACTTTTTTTTTGGGCGGGAAACCCATAATTTCAAGCGGGGAAAGGAATTGGGGGGTGGAGGGGTAAAGGTTTTTGTGATGTATTCGGGCGAATAAAAGGGGGGGGTTTGGGAATCCTGATCCGAAGACGGGGCCCGTTTGGGTTGTTTTTAAAGGAAATGGGGGGGGGGGGGTCGTGTGTTAAGAATAGAGGGGGTGGTGGAGAGGTGAGGGGGGGAGGGGGGCAGCATTTGGGGGCTGTCCCCGGCTGAGAATGATGTAAGGTAAAAAATTTGAATTTGTGAATAACGTATTGGAAATTTTATTTGCGGTCTTTTACCGCCCAGTGACAATAGTTGGTGGCGACTGGAACTGGGGTGGTGCGCGGGAAGGGATGGGGAACCCGGGGGGGGAGGGGGCAGGGTTTTTTTTGGCAGGTTTGGGGGTTCTATTGAGGGGTTTGGGGGTTGAGGGATTTTGTAAAAGGAGGGTTTTGGCGGGGATAGAGCACATTTTTCATAAAAGGGTTGTTTGCACGATTAGATAGGTTGTATGTGACAAGGGAGTGAGGGTGCCCGGGGGTGAAAACGGTGAATGTCTTTTAATTCAAAATCAAAGGGGGGTTTATTGTTTTAAATT